ATACTAACATATGTATCGTTATGAATTGGTGATATATACAGATTGTGATTGATTTGTAATCGAAACAAATCAAATATAAAAGGGTTTTTAGTGGACAATAGTGAGGCTCATATATTTTAAAAGAAATAAAGTGTCAAGGTGAGTGCAATACATGCATGAAATTATACATGGATGTTTTATACATCATCAGGAAGACTTGCGATAAGTCAACGTTATTTATATCAGCATGATATATGTTATTTTTATAACTATGACATGACATTGAAATGTCACGGTATGAAATCAAAATGCATTGATCATGAAAAATGTGATATTTTACCATGAATGTTTTCAGGTATGAACTGCCCAATGTTAAATATTGATAATATACTTTGCCATGGATGGATCGAATAAAGTAGACTATATGCCCAAATAAACCATTGAGGGACAGGGTATAGTTGACATGTCATAGAGTATAGCAGCTGCAGGTTTATATTACACTATAGTGTATAAGGACACTAAGTGTACATGGTGGGCACAACCTTATGTGTAATACACTTCGGTGTATATGGTGGGCACGACCTTATGTGTAGCACTACGGTACAAATATTACTCGAATACCCAGGGTCCTCAGGGTTGTATATTGGGCTATAGGCTATGAGTTATGGTTTATTGATTAATAAATGGTAAGTATGCAAATAAGCTTACGAGCTTATGAATAATGGCAAGTGTATTGATAAAATAAGCTTACGAGCTTATGAAATTTAAATGGTAAGTATTTTGGTAAAATAAGCTTACGCTTATGGGATAAATGGTAAAAGATTTTATATTATATTGATCATGGTAAAATATTGGATATGCAAATAAAATGATTTTATGGCATTTTGAATTAGATATTGAAAATCATGCATGAATTGTATTGCATTGTTTATTGTTTTAAATTGCCTCACTAAGTATATACATAGCGTGTGATGATTTTCACGCGTAGGTAAAAAGCCAGTAATTGAATAAAGAGTTCGGAATGACATCATGCATCGAGGAGTATATTTCAATATCAGTAAGACATCCTAAGATGTAATATAGACTTAATTAGTGGCATGTAATTATAAATGTTTTATTTGTTTTGTTAAACAAATTTGGAAACAAAATGGAATTTTATTGAATTTATATGTATTTTCGAAAGTTATTGTAGCAGTTACTGTAGCAGCACTGTAGTATGAACAGTAACCACGTTTTAAGCAAAATTTTCCAGTATGTAAATAGGGTATCGATCCCCCCTACAGGGAATCGATCCCCTCACTATTCATCGTCACTGTTCACTATTACTGTTCACGGATACTGTTCACTATTCATAAAAAAATCTTTTGAATTAAATTCATTATAATGAAACATAATTTATATGATATGATATTTTTATAATATCAATTATCATTCTAAGAAAATAAATTTTAAATCACTTGTAAATGTGGAAATGGTTTTAAGAAATCCGGGTGACATCTATAATCTGTATAGGTATAATTATACGAATTATGGGTGTTACAGGGAAACTCAAATTCGTATACCTTAAAAACTTCAGATAGTAGGTATACGGGATCCACAAAATGGTTATAGTCTTGACGTGTATGCGAGCAAGCTGCTATCACATGAGAGCATGAATACTTCAGAGCTTGAAAAAACCCGCAGTCGCACTTTCTGTCTTTTAGATTTACTCTTAACGACACAACTTCAATCCCTTGAAGAGGTCGCGGTAACTCTGTGACATGAAACATTTCATGCCTTCTATATAAGCTTGTTACAGACATTCCATTTGATGCAGAATTTTTTTTCAGTAGATCTGCAACTAATCTAGGGTGATAGACATGACCGCCTTGCATCCAAGTTTAAGCTTGTCCCCCGAGCTTCGTAAAAATCGCCCCCAAACGAAAATATATATTCTTTACCAAAGCCGCTACTGGTAAGTGATGTGCACCCTTTAAGGTTGAATTGATTGCCTCTGCCAAGTTGGTCGTCATGTGTCCATATCGATATCCACCATCATATGCGTTCGTCCATATTTCTTTATCGATGAGGCTGATGTAATCGTATCCTTCCTCGTTCTTCGCCCGCAAATCTTGATGCATTGATTCAAACGTTCGAGGAAGTAGTTCGTAACCTGATTAAAAATGTATAACTTACTAACTTGCTTTCTTTGCAAAATTAAAACAATCGAAAGAAAACAAACCACATCAGTTTCACTTACCCATGCGCACAATTAATTGACGCTCATCATTCTTCTTGTATCTTCCATGGTAGTTCGCAATAATGTATCGGAGACAATACCTATGTTGGAAAAAGGGTGGTTGCCACATTGGACCCAAAGACTCCATTGCTGCTTTGATCCCAGCTCCGCGATATGAAATGACACAGATGTTTTCCCTCGTGATAATATGTGCACGTAAATTTCGAAGGAAAAAAGCTCAAGAATCTGTATATTCTCCTTCGATAAGAGCAAAAGCAACTGGAAGAATGTTGCAATTGCTATCTTGGACAATTGCCAATAATAAAACTTGCTTGTATTTTCCATACAAGAAAGTCCCGTTGATCTGGACCACAGGCTTGCAGTATTTGACAGCATTAACGCACTGTGGGTAACTCTAAAAACTCGGTAAAATTGGCATCGATCGCGAAGAACTCGATCATTATGGTATGCATAGGAGGTTTTGAAGTCCACAATTATTCCAGGATTCAACGTCCGCACCAGCCTAAACCAACCTGGAAGTTTATTGTAAGATTCATCCCATTCGCCATGAAGTTTGACAATGGCATTTTGTTTTGCCAACCAAGCTTTTTTATAGGAGATAGTGTACCCATACTGCGATTGTATAGCTGAAATCAACACTGTAACAACTATATGAGAGCTTGTTTTTACTATGGACATGATGGCTTGGCATATCATTTCAGAGTCCAAGTTGGGATGATCTTGGTTGACCCCTCCAGCACAACATGTGTGAAAACCATTGTATACTGTTAGTTCCCATATGTTGTTTTTCATCTTCATTTTTGATACGCGAACCATCCAATTGCATCCGTTTTCGCGTCGAGCACAGTAGCATACATATTTTTCGGTCGTGGATCGGTTGACTCTGGACTGAACATAATTACGTATATTGTAATTTTTTATAGCCATCACCGTTTCTTCTTTGCTTGAAAGCTCCATGCCTAAAGATAACTCACCATTATTTATTGATGAGTAATATCCATAGTCACCGAGATGAGGCATATCCGTAAATTCTGGCCCGTACATTGCACCATAATCAGCTTCATATATGTGTGCAGGAGGGTCAGTTTGTGTTACATTTCCTGAAACTTCATCATCATCAGAGTTGAATTGCGGTGATTCTGGGTGAATGAATAGTCCAGTCTCAGCACCATCCGCACCAGGCTCAAGAAGCGGTTCTTCTGGTGGAGATGATGGTTTCTCCATGCGCTCCACATTTAGGTCGAAGAACCTATTACTTGCACACCTTCCCCTTGAACTAGAAGGCATATCGACATTGAGATCGAAAAAGCTCGCAGTCGAATGCCTCCCTCTGGAGCTTGAAGCCATCGTGTCAAATGGAAACTGCACAGATGGTTGCATCGATGGCATCTCCATATGGTCAAAGAAATTTGCAGATGAATGTCTTCCCCTTGAACTTGACGCGGTGTTGCCATACAGATTATTCGTGGACCCACCTCGGTACATATCGTAAAGAGTTGCGGATGAATGTCTCCCCATTATGACATTAAAATCATTACACATTACTATAGTCGGGTTGTCAACTTGATCAACTTGTTCAACCAGCCCATAGTGAGAGCTTAATGATTGACCCCGAACAGCACACACTTAAACAAAATGTGCATACTTCTCAATATCGGCGTTTGAATAATTACTTTGAGCTTCAACCATCATTTCAACATTATCATTGTTCGAAAGTTCGAACGCTGTATAAGTTAATGATAACAATGATGTTGGAAATCTGTACTGCAATGACGACATTCTACTATTACTTCCAACATAAATCTTCCTCGAAATCTTCGTTATCAGCTCTTCAAGAATTATGTTTCTCTTTAATGATATTTTAACACGCTCATTTGATACGAAAACAACTCCGGTTTCATCTTCTCGAATTTCACCATCATAATAAACAATAGCTGAAAGTCGCGTCATTCTTTGAGTTTAAAAGTGCGGCAATATTATATCTGAAAAAAATAACTGAAACAAACCTGATTAAATAAATAATATATGAACGAAAATATAACACAATAAAATGTTTACACATTAACATAAATAATTTAAATAATATAATTTTATATTATTACCTGCACCGCAAAACTATTTCGACGTATGCTCCCGCTTTCTAATTTGACAAACACAAAAATTAATTGAAAATAATTAATATACTATTTTTTCAAATAATCATAATAAACAATAAGTATAATAAAAAAAGTATAACAAAATTACCTTATAACGAAAAATCGCACGAAATTCTAAATTAAATATGAAAAAATTGTCAGAATTATTGACTAGTTGACGGAATTATTGTATTAATTTATAAGTTAAGAGGAGAGATGCGAGGAGATGTGAGGAGATATGAGTAACTTAACCCGGGGAGAAGGGTATTTATAGCCAAGAAAAGTTGTTATAATTATACAAGGCGCGATACCTGCAACTCGCCTTATATACTTATACCAGTTAAATGTATGGTGCAGCTCCTGCCTCGCGCTATGCCCCTACGTGGCATAAGGCGCACTCTAGGGACCGCACTATACTCACGTGTATTCCATATCAACATATAGCGCGGTGTAGGAGGCGCGTCTTACCCCACGTGATGCCAAATCAGCATATAACACAGTGCAGGAGGCGCGTTTTACTGTAAAGGCTGTTAGATCAAAAAATATAATATAATCAATATAAGATCAATAAATATACCGATCACCGATAATTTTTCGAAAAAAACGCCAAGTTTCTCTTCCCTCTTGTTTTATACTTTTTACTCTCCTTTTCCTCGAGCTCTGCATAAGCAGAAACAGAAGCCAAAAACACAAATAATGCTGGCGTGTTTCACGGACAACCTTAGCTTATGCAGAGCCACTGCTGCAATTGGGTACTTGTTCCTGTTACTCTTTTCTTTCTTCATCACAATTTCCGCTGCTTGTTTTAATGGAAACTGCCAGGTTCCTTTCTTCTTTCTTCCTTCCTTTCCTTTTCTCTCTCTCTGTGATACGTTCAGTTTTGAGCTGAATTCGCTAGAGATCGTTTCTGTTCTTGACTTATGTTCCCAGGCTACAGATTGTGGTTCAGGTCTTTATTGTGGGAACTGCCCAGCTTTGGGCAAGAGTCAACCTTTTTGTACCAGAGGTCAAGCTATCATACCCACTTCTGTTGTAAGTGCACAATTTTTTTTTTCATTCAGTGAGAATTTAGTTTAATTTTGTTTCCTTTTTGGTAAGGGAGCTCTTTGTTTTCCATTTCTGTGTATATTTTGGTGATGGATAGGTTTTACTATTCTGTTGCTTTTTTCTCTCTCTCTTTTGTACACTTCCATGTTGTTCTCTGAGCAAATTGTTGATGGGCATTTATGTTTTTGGTGTGAATTTTGGGTGCCAGATTGGTGGATTGCCTTTCAACAAATATTCATGGTTGATGACCCACAATTCCTTCAGCATAGTGGATGCACCATCTCTACAAGGCGTTCAAAGACTGACATTTTACAATCAAGAAGACATTGTTACTAATCAATTGATGGTGTGTACTCTATTATTTTGCATCACCTTTAAATGACCTTGTTAGTTATTGTGATTCTAAAGGAAGAGACCCGGGTTCAAGCAGCTATGTCTGCATACTCTGTGTGCCTTGTCAATAGTCTAAGAAAAAATTATGAACATATACTATCTTGTAGTCACTACGTACTGATAAAAAATCTAAAGGAAACCATAAAAAGGAGGAATTAGACATGATCGGCTAAAATTACATCTAGTCTAGTTAGGTGATAATGTGAAAGTTTTATTCTTTTTTTACTCTTTGTATGATTTTGTCCGTTTGGCATTAAATAGAATTTACTTAGCTTCTTTATGGTCTCCAAAAATATGGAAATATTTTTTGCTTGCATCTTGCCTTTTTAAAGAAACAGATGAATAATTGATTTCTCTATATTCTAAACTTATTTGCTTTGTGGTTGGTTTTTATCCAGAATGGAGTGAGGGGACTGATGTTGGACATGTACGATTTTAACGACGATATTTGGCTTTGTCATTCATTTCAGGGACAATGCTTCAACTTCACTGCCTTTGTAATATGTCTTTCCATCTTAGAAATTTAGCAGTTATAATGCGTGCTCTTCTTTCTAATTTTTAATTTTCCATTTTTTCAAGACAATTTGAATTGTGCTGATTGGATCTTATTCAGCAACCCGCAATTAACACCTTGAGGGAAGTGGAGCCATTCGTGACTCAGAATCCATCAGAGATTGTAACCATTATAATCGAGGACTATGTGCATACACCAAAAGGACTGAGTAACCTTTTCACGAGTGCCGGTCTTGACAAGTATTGGTTTCCTGTGTCGAAGATTCCAAAAAAGGGTGAAGATTGGCCTACTGTGAATGAAATGGTGCAAGTAAATCACAGGCTTCTGGTTTTCACCTCAGTTGCTTCGAAGGAAGCGGAGGAAGGAATTGCGTACCAGTGGAAGTACATATTAGAAAATGAAGGTAATGGTTATGTACGTGTGGTGCTTCTTTCTAGGTTCATATTGTGTTCTTGCTATCGACTATAGAGTAAACAGCTTAATGATATTTTGGGTTCAGCTGGAGATCCAGGGGTAAAGCCAGGCTCATGCCCAAATAGAAAAGAATCATGCCCAAATGGTTAATTCGGTCGCTGATTGAATTAATCAAAATCAAATTAATTGAATTTTTGTAATTAGATTAATATTTTTATATAATTTAATGGATGTATAACAAGCTGTTCTAATTACAGCAATGTAACAACCATGCCTCAAATAGGCGGCCCTTTGCTTCAAAGTTCAATGTCATCATAGTGACAGAGAAAAATACCATTCTATTTTTTTAAGGGAAGAGGTCCGTTATAGCTTAATCATAATTAAAGTATAAAACTAACTCTTAAGTCTTAATTATTTCCAAGTTAACATAACTAGTTTTCTTACAATAATCAAAGTCCACAAAACAATAACAACAGCAAACTAGTACGCATCACTTGTGAAAGAAGGAAAGCTGAGATGAGATCAATCATTAAAAAGCACCCCAAAATATAAAACTCAATCTAATATAAACCAGAATCATACGAGTCGGTGAAGATATCTTTATAAATTCTTAATTTATGAAGGAAAGGATATTTGGGTTTATCTTATTGTACAACAAATGAATCACCTTTAACACGTTGATTGAGTATATATACATGGGATGGGATGGGATTGGCATGCCAATCATGTGAATGGCACTGGATCCACTACCTATATTCATGTGGCTTTCTTTCCTTCAATTCTTTGCATTCAGTGATGATTGAGAGGAGGCGGTCGTATAGTCGTTTTCTATAATTTTTTTTATATATATTTTAGATATTCTTTTTGTATTTTCTATAATGATTTGATTGTATTCTTATGTCAACTTCTGTATAATAATAAATTAAACAATTAATATCAGATTAGTTTTGATAATCCCCCCACAAATCCTAATAAATATGAAGATTTGATGAATAGGTGGGATTTGATTGGAATTGGAACTTGAACTTGAAGCAGTCCCACAAAATTCTTGCAGAACGCCAAGTTTTCGATATTTGTTGGAAATGTATAATGAATTATGTACATGCGGCCAACCTGAGTAGCCAATAAGAAATCTTCTTCAGTAAAAAGTCAGTTTATCTATGTTTTTACTAATCATTTACATTAAAAATCATCACCAATTGCAATGGAAAATCAATTGGACAAAGCCATCAGATTTGATTGAAGGCCATGAAACTCTAATTTTCTCTTCTTTCTTCTACCTCAGTGTGATCCAGCTCTCTGAAACTGGCCAATTGGCTGCCGCTTCATCACAAGCCAATTCATGAATCCGATCCGAAGGTGATGAAATGTAACTCGAAAATGAAGGAACAGAGCTTGATTGAGAAGAAGCTGTTGATTGAGATGAAACCCAATCTGGGAAATCAAAAGGAGATTTTGGTGAAGCTGAGAATTCTTCAAATGAACATCTCGAGGATGTTGATTCTTCTTCTTCTTCGCATCGATTCATTGAATTTGAAACGATCTCATCATCACAAGAGATGAATGGATGATCCAGGAGCATCTCGGCCGTCCATCGCTTCTTCGGATCCTTAACGAAGCATTTTCTAAGAAAATCTTTTCCTTCCTCGGATAAATCTTGAGGAATTCCAGGCAATTGATCGCTAACCCCAATCTTAAACAACAAAGCCGCCATGTTTGTCCCTGGTTTGAAATTCCAAGCTGCTTTCCCAGTAAACATCTCAACAATGGCACATCCAAGTGCCCAAATATCAACAGCTGAATCATACACGTTTTCATTGACCGACTCTGGTGCGATATTGAGAGGAGTTCCCCTGATTTCCATCCTCCTCTGTTCTCCCTCTTCTTCTTCTTCCCCATTTCTCTTTGCCAATCCAAAATCAGCTATCTTCACATCACCATTACCAAACAAAAGAATATTTTGAAGCTTAATATCACAGTGAACGAACCCTTTTGAATGAACAAAGCGTAGCCCTTTAAGTATCGATCTTGCGTATCTCCTAACATCGGATTCCATCAAGTTCCCGCCGCTTTTCTTCAGCTGATCAGCCAAGCTTCCTTTATCAGCGTACTCCAAGAACAAATTATACAACCTCACACCCTTTTCGACTGTATGATTTCCACCTAAACAACGGATGATTTGGGGGCAAGAACCGATTCTATCAAGCACTTCCTTCTCGTTCTTCAGCGAAACAGAGTCGATTAGTTGGCAAGACTTAACAGCCATTAAAGGAGATTTTGAGAAGCCATTTTTGGGTAGCACCAAATTGACAGTGCCGAAACTTCCACACCCAATCGTCTCCCCACGAATCCACTCCATTGGACACTCCAACTTCCACTCAAGAATTCTACAACTTTGGGTTTTAGGAAAAACAGAACGCTTCTTCGTTTGTTTTGAGGCAAAATGAGCAAAACAGAGGTTACAGGACGTGATTGTGGCGCAAATACTCCCTTTATATATAGGGATGGATTTTTATTTTAATTTATTTTATTTGGTAGGCGTCGGCGTTCCAGATGAATTGAATTTTTCCTATAATTAATGCACGTGATAGGTGAGCATATTTTGTTTGTTTTATTTTTTATTTGAATTTCCGTATCTTAATATGAAAAAAACGGCTTACCTTCCCCTGTCTTGAAAAACGTGGTAGCTATCACCCCTCTTACAAGATTTTTACTCCATATAATTTATACATCCAAAAATAATTACAATAATATCTAATAATTTATAATTTGATTTAATAATTATAATATATATAGAACTAGAGATGATAATTTAATTGATATTGATGAGCTTTCATTAGAATAAATTTGATAGGCTTAATTTTTTTAGAAAAAACATTTTTGAGTTGAGTAATTTGATATAGAATGAGGTTGGATCAGATCAAGTTCGGATTTAAGGTGATATTTTTTTTATCTTGTAAAATAAGGATCTAATTATAAAAAAATTATAGAGATGGGTAATTTATAAAATAAAAATAATTTTTTAATTAAGTCTTTATTTTATAAAATACAAATAATTTTTTATATATTTATGTCAGTTCAGTTGAATTGGATGCATGATTTTATTACAAAAATTGAGGTTGAATCAAGTATTAACGGAGGCAATACACTACTCAGGTCATGTCAAATCGAGTAAACGATGTATGTTATTCGAATCAGATTGAGTAAGATTTAAATAAAAGATGTATGCTTTTCCGATTGGAGTAGGTAACCAAAAACCCAATCCAACCCTAGCATTGCCAACTCTGTATATTACATTATAATAAGTTGAGAATGAAAAATAAGGAGTAAGTCGACACCGTTTTTCGCGCGGGTAGAGAAAGACCGATACTGACTCGGGGGTTTTCTTTGAAAATTATCTCAAAATGTGACGAGTTGCCACCAATCATTTAAGGTGCGATTGGAACACCGTAAAAACCGAGTGATTTTAATAAAACATTTTATTTTAATAAAATATCTAGTTTTGGGGTTTGAAAAAAATCCAGAAATCAGGTTCGGGAGTCGATTACGCGTAGGGAAGGATTAACACCACCACAAGCGCTCAAAAATTGGTACATAGTTGATTACTCTATATTTAAAATCAGAAATTTTGAGTTCGATCTTTATTTAATTTAAAAATCATTAAGGATGCAAAGTTGAAAAAGATATTCGTTTATCGAGACCGATAACATTCGCCCCCGAGCGTAAATGCGGGAGATCAGCTATTGTGCCTAATAACCGAACATTGCTTCGTTTTTAGAAAACATGATGCAATTTTTTAAAAGGATGTCGACTTATTTTGGGAGTTACTAGTAGTCACACCCTGAGCATGATCGCAGGAGATATACTATTAATTCCTTAATAAGTGAAGAGTGCCTTAGATTTATAAAAACAATGTGATCAAGCAAAATTTTATTTATCCTAATTATACTAAAAGTAAATTAAGGTTTTTTCTAACTTACGATGTCAAATTATGAAAATTAATGAACCTAGGGGCTCAAATCTAAAAAAAGGTAGGCTCTAATATTAATCATATTGAATTATGTAAATGTTAAAGCTCTAATTAAATTTGGGGACTAAATGGTCAAATAAATAAACTAAGATTATGAGACCTAAATATAAAATCCTAAAACTTAAGGATCTAAATCTATAAATCTTAAGGTTTAAAGTGTTAATCTACAAATTTAAGCCTTAATAATTATTAAAAGCAAGGAACTAAATTAAAATAATTAAAACAACAAATAATAAAAATAGTAAAAACAACCAATAAAAATAAAAATAAAATAAATACAAGGACCTAATTACAATAAAATCTAATAACATTGATTAAAATGCAAGAAAACAAAAGATAGTAACTAAATAAAAAATAAACAAGGATCGAAATGTAAGAAATTAAAATACAATAGCTAAATTCAGAACTAACAGGGGCTAAATTGAAATAAAATGAAAATGAGTGATAAAATAAAAATAAATTAAAAACGAAAGGTCCAATGACCAAAATGTAAAAACAAGGCTAAATTCGAAAGACTAAAATAGTAAATTTACCAGATAATTAACACATGCATAACAAATAGGTATAATAACAAGTTTTGTCCTTATAGGGACCAAAATATAAAAACACGACAAACTTACAGGCATTTAAGATGTAATTTTACCATTAATCTAGCCTATATATACCACTTTTAAGCTTTTTTGTTTCATTTCTCACCAAAACCCCCAAAAAACTCAACTCTCCCCCTCAGCCGACTCAACGCCGACAACTCTCCCTGCTACCGTCTGACCACCGCTCTGACCGCCGTACATGGTGGTAAAAAATTTCCAAACAACCCTAATTTTTCCAAAACACTCTTTTACCCTATATCTATCCCCTGAATCTCTATTTGGGGGCCAAAAAACCACTAAAACTACGCGAAAATAACCCCGATGATGTTATGACGTTTGGGCTTCCTCACTCTTTGACCATCGCGAAGATAAACCGATCAGACAGTATGGTTCTCCCTCAAGTAAACTACTCAAAATCTTCCTTTAATCTCTTTTTTATACACGCAACATACTTTATTTATCAATCGAAAATAAAAAAATAATAATAATACCTCAAAAAATCTGATTTTTATTTCTTTCTTGTGGATCTGAAAAATCCCCCATTACAATTTTTTGTTCGGGTATTTATAGACCCGATTTTTACATTTTTCACTTGTTTTTTCCTTTCCTTTTTTCTTTCTTTTTCTTCAAAAAATGATTAAAGTCAAAATAGTTGATATTATTGTGTTTGTTTGGTGGATCTGGCTGTGGTTGTCGGCTGGTGGAGAAAACGGTGGTAGTGGAGAAATTGATGGCCTACCGGGTCGGGTCAGTTCTGGATACGGGTCACCCCAGTGGGCTGAAAAGATGATGCTTACAACCGCCCCTCTTTGCTCATTGCTGTGAAACGAGAATGAAGCAAAGATAAAAAAACACCATTTTTTATTTTGGTATCTTCTTATCACGTTGCGAACTCTTCACTGGGAATGTCAGTTCTTCTCTTTCTGCGAAATTCATCGAGTCCTTGCTGCAAATGATGTCATCTTTTCTTCGTTCTCTTGGTTGAGTCTTCATCTTCAGTTCTTCTCATCCTTGTATTTCCATTGGAAATGTTGATCCCTCAAGTGATGTGTTGCTGATTCAACTCCATATGTGATGAATTGAGTACCGGAAATGTTGAAAACATTTTGCCCAAAGGTCTTATGAATGGCCCAAAGGTCTTATCATCTTCCTTGAAAAACTTATAAATAGCCTGAAGGACTTATGCATCATGCTCGAAAGACTTACTAATAGTCAGAAGGACTTACTCATCAAGAAACCCTTGAAAATCAAGCTTAGTTTCTTAGTTGTCATCAAGGAACCCCTAAAAATTAGGCTTAGCTTTCTTTAAAAAATCTTTGGAGATAATTATCAAGAAACCCCTAAAAATCAAGCTTAGTTTCTAAAAGCTCATTTGAAAACATCATGCCTGAGAGTCTTATGGATGGCCCGAAGGACTTATCATCTTGCTCGAAAGACTTATAGATGGCCCGAAGGACTTACTCATCAAGAAACCCTTGAAAATCAAGCTTAGTTTTTTAGTTGTCATCAAGGAACCCCTAAAAATTAGGCTTAGCTTCCTTTTAAAAACTCTTTGAAAATATCATCAAGAAACCCCTGGAAATCAGTCTTAGTTTCTAAAAACTCATTTGAAAACATCCTGCCTGAAGGTCTTATAGATGGCCCGAAGGGCTTATCATCTTGCTCGAAAGACTTATAGAAGACCCGAAGGATTTAAGCATCACGCTCGAAAGACTTAATGATGACCCGAAGGACTTACTCATCAAGAAACCCTTGAAAATCAAGTTTAGTTTCTTAATTGTCATCAAGAAACCCCTACATATCACGCTGGTCCCTCGAGCTTAGTTTCTTATAAAAATTCATTAAAATTCATCATCAAGGAACCCCTACATATCATATTGGTCCCTCAAGCTTAGTTTCTTATAAAAAAATCATTGAAAATCGTCATCAAGAAACCTCTAAAAATCAGGCTTAGTTTATTTAAAAAATCTTTTGAAAATATCATGTTATTTGGGTAACGTGCCCCCACATCAAAGTAATGGTTCTTCTTGGATTGGTCTCCTCAATTCTTGAGGTTCTGCCAATCGGAATATAATTCCCTTCTGTAGACACCCATTTTTTGTTGGGATTAAAATATATATTATATTTATTATTATATACTATAGTATGATTATTATTATTATTAATATTATTTTACAATATTTGCAGGCCCAATTACAAATACCAAGAGGCCCAACACTAGTGACCCAACAAGCAAACCCAAGCATCCCAAATGATAACCCATCAACTTTAGGGTTTTTGAAACCCTAATCTCTAAACCAAAGCCGCCGCCGCTTCCCCAGCCACACCAGATCCTTCACCGAGCCAACAGCTACCGCACACCAGCTCATCTCGAGCCAACAACCGTCGCACGCCACCAGTTGTAAGCTGAAGCCATCGTAGATATATCAAGCCGAGATATCCCGAGCTGTCACCATCGATAAACCTACACAAATCTACCAAGTCAACGACAACCCATGTCAAAACAACACCTAATCCCAACTAAACATATCAACATCTTACCAAAACGCAAGAAAAAGAAAAGAAAAGGACAAGGGAATTCGGTGAAGGAATCAACCATAAAGAAGGGAAAAGAGGGAGGAATTCAAGATGATGAGGGTCTCGATAAGAAAAAATAGATCAATGTTGTTTAGAGAGAAGAGCAATAAATACGAAAAAAGAGTGTGTAAAAGGATTCTTCCTTACCCCATGTTCAAGTGTCGAGATGTGTAGCAGAGTCTTCCCATCTTTTTCGAAATCAATATTGATAATTTTATGAGGTATTCCATTTATATTTTTATGCATTGAGTGTATGTG